TTTTCTAAGCACATGCACTGTGGATAAGGGTCAATTCCAACCTCGTGACTTCAAAACTAATGTGGAGGTATTTTCAGTTATTAGTAATTCACACAAGTTTATATAGATTAGAACAGAGCCTGTTTCAGTAAGTAAGCAGGTAGGTTTTAACCCATTAGCTTACAGTACAAATGACCAATTGTATAGCATTGGAAACTCAGAAGCAAAGATCAATATGCCTAATTCTGGTTATCTTCCATGTATCAATTCAGAAACTGTCTGTTTTAGAAATTCCAGAGAGGCCTTTAGAATCACACACTTTCTATTATTATTATTATTATTATTATTATTATTATTATTATTATTATTATAAAAATTCCACCTTCTCCCCACCTCCCATTTCCCTCCCCCTTCCCCCACTCTTCTCCCCTTCCCTCTCCAATCCAAAGATCAGTCTGTGTTCCCTGCCCTGTGGGAAGTCCAAGGTCCTCCCCGCTCCGTCCAAGTCCAGCAGGGTGCGCAAACAAACAAACTAGTCTCCCAAAAAGCCAGTACATGCAGTAGGATCAAAACCCAGTGCCATTGTCCTTGGCTTCTCAGTCAGCCCTCATTGTCCGCCACTTTCAAAGAGTCTGGATTGATCCCATGCTCTTTCAGTCCCAGTTCAGCAGGCCTTGGTGAACTCCCATTAAATCAGCCCCACCGTCTCAGTGGGTGGGCACACCCCTAGCACTCCTGACTTCTTTGCTCATGTTCTCCCTCCTTCTGCTTCTCATTTGGGCCTTGAGAGTTCAGTCCAGTGCTCTAATGACAGCCTTTGCTGGAGAGGATGTGGAGTAAAGGGTACACTCATCCATTGCTGGTGGGAATGCAAACTTGTGCAACCATTTTGGAAATCAGTGTGGCAGTTTCTCAGGAAATTCGGGATCAACCTACCCCAGGATTCAGCAATACCACTCTTGGGAATATACCCAAGAGAAGCCCAATCATACTACAAAAGCATTTGTTCAACTATGTTCATAGCAGCATTATTTGTAATAGCCAGAACATGGAAACAACCTAGACGTTCAATGGAAGAATGGATAAAGAAAGTGTGGTACTACTCAGCGGTAAAAAAACAATGACATCTTGAATTTTGCTTACAAATGGATGGAAATAGAAAACACTATTCTGAGTGAGGTAACCCAGACCCAAAAAGAGGAATATGGTATATATTCACTCATAAGTGGATTCTAGCCATAAATAAAGGTCAGTGAGCCTATAAATCATTGTCCTAGAGAAGCTAAATAAGAAGGTGAACTCAAAGAGAAACATATAGTTATTCTCTTGGATATTGGAAGTAGACTAGATTACCAGACAAAAATTGGGATCTTGGGGGTGGGAGTGGGATGGGAGTAAGGGAACATGGGGAGAGAAAAGTGAGGAGAGGACGATGGGGAGACGCTGGGGGAATGGGATGGTTGGGATGGAGGAAGGGTAGATATGGGTGCAGGGAAGAAGATATCTTAATTAAGGGAGCAATTTTAGGGTTGGCAAGAGACTTGACTCTGGAGGGGTTCCCAGGTGTCCATGGAGATGTCCCCAGCTAGTTCCTTGGGCAGCTAAGGGGAGGGAGCCTGAAGTGGCCCTACCCTATAGCTACACTGATGAATATCTTGCATATCACTAAAGAAGCTTCATCTGGCGATGGATGGAGATAGAGACAGAGAATCACACACTTTCTAAATCAATGAGGAGGAACCAGTGCACAAACACAATCATTATAGATCAGTGTTCAGTGTTTGGAATTCACTCATTACTTTCTCAGCTCCAAAGTGCTGGTGCATCTTCATTTCTTTGGCTCCACTCTCCACAGCATGTATTGTTTATTGCAGGTTCAGTTTGACTTCAGATCCTGAGAGCTCAGCCCCTTTCTTTTTTTCTCCTGTCCATACAGTAGGGAGTGGTTTCTGCTGCATATAATGCATCCTTGTTTCCCTGTCCTGACAGCACTTCCTTTGAGGAAAACATTTGGAGGAAGTGCTTATGAAAAGCAGAAATCTGCAACAGCTTCTTAAAGTTCGCCTATCAAAAAGTGGTCATCTTTTTCTTTTTCTCAACTCATGCCAGAATCTTCTCACAGCAGTGGAGACTTATTTAGCTTAAAGCATGGTAAATAAAAAATATCCTGTATTCCTTTACTAAGGTCTATGAATCTGAGAGATCCCAAACAGGTAAGGACACTGTGTAGTGGAAACTGAATGTCCCATTTGAAGTCTACAGACTCATTTGTTGACAAAAGAAGATAGACTGGAACATCTCTAGATCTTTTTGTCTTCTCTGTATTTTGTCAGAACGTCCTCTGGGCATTTTATCAATACAGGAGTGGATAACTATATACTCTTTCCCACTAGAAAGAAGTGGGTGCATTCTTTTCTGATGATTGACACTCTTGAGTGAGAGGTGACTCTTTACTACCGCATGACATCACTAAATTCCTAATCTTATCAAGCCTGTGTAAAATACAACGAGGTATGAAAGGAAGCAAACAACAAAAAGGAGAGAAAAGAGGGTTTCAGACTTAGAGGTAATGGGTAGGAAGTACAGGTAGAAAGAGGACTACCCAGCACAGCCCTTATCTCCAGGTTTCTACCCAAGCAAGCTGATCCAATTTCGCCTCTGTTACTGGAACCTGGAAAACTATTATGCTGAATCAAAGGTTCTTTATATTACCTCTACTACCTGACTGTTGCACTGTTAGGAATGAAGTCCAGGTTCTAGTGTGGGTTTATTTCTAATGCTCATCCCACCCACAGCTCTGAAAGCAGGCTATTGCTATTTTCTTTCCTGCTCCCAGTCAGATGTCTCTGGCTTTGCTCAGTTTAAGAATCCAAGAGCCTGTGTGGAGTGAGGAAGCCAACAGATGAAGAGTAAGCTTCGTGATGGATCTTTCCCAGGTGCACTGAGTGGTAAACAATTCCTGTCCCACTCTCACCACAAGCTTAGTCAGTCACTTGTGGCCCTTTTGACCATATCTTTTGACTGAAGAGTGGCAGCACAAGCCTTTGCCCTGGTTCTCAAGGTTGAAATCACCTTGAAGCCTGCTCAATAAGTGCCCAAGCCCCTACTTTCAGCACATTCAGTGGAGGTGGCAGATGACTGAATTTTCCACCATGTAATTGTGGGTAACTATCATTTAGTTTTGAAAGGGCTTTTAGGGCCACATGTGTCATGACTGTTTACAAGTGCTTTTTTGAGATTTTCTGTCGTGTAGAGGATCTTTAGAATAGGTCATGTCCAATCCTAGTTGAGAGAACCCAAGGCATGCAATTGGAGTGCTAGTAGTTGTTTAGGGTATTGCCAAGGTCATCCTCTGGCATGGACAAAGAATTGAATGACTTGTCAGATGAAGCTGTGCTTCAGGATTGGAGAAGACTAAACGTGTATTAAAGAGACTTTTACTTTGGTAACTTACAGGACCCCTGAGTATCCCTTTTCCCAGACTGCTCCTGTGTTGATGTCCAACCCTGTGAATTCTAGCTATTTCCTCTTGAATTTTTTTCTTTTTTCTTTTTTTGGTTTCTTTTGAGACAGGGTTTCTCTGTGGCTTTGGAGCCTGTCCTGGAACTAGCTCTTCTAGACCAGGCTGGTCTCGAACTCCCAGAGATCTGCCTGCCTCTGCCTCCCAAGTGCTGGGATTAAAGGTGTGCGCCACCACTGCCCGACTGAAAATTTTTTTAAGAAGAATAAGTAGAAGTGACAGTCTCAGGAATCCTTACTTTTCTTTTCTTTCCTACCCATGTTCCTTTAATGGTCCTTCAATTCCTTCCCCAGAAGAAGTATTTACATCCCCAAATACCTCTCTTGGACATGTTCATCCTTATTAGAGAATAGTGATGGGCTGAACTTGAGAGGACAGGGCTGTTGGCAAGAAGTAATCATTCATAAATCACTTCTTCCCTCCCAACACTTGTACATGTAGTGGTGCCATTATGTATTCCACAAAAGCTACTCTGTAATCTACTTCCTATTCTTTGAAACCATTGGCTTTATGAGTAGGAAACACATCACTCTATTTCATATTTTCTTTTTTATACTGATAGAGTCATTGTCCAGGAAAAATATTCCCACCAACAAAAGATTTATTCACAAAAAGACTCAGAAACTAAAGAATTTCAAGTTTGGCAATTCAGTCTCAGCACACACAATTTGATATGTTGTTGTCTGCTGATAGATTCTTAAAACTGTAAATTTTCAATTGTTGTACTAAAGATTCTCTTACAATTCACGTTGAAGTTTTCAGCAGCTATATATTCAGTGTTTCATTGAACCTAATATGTGGATAGCAGATGGTAGTCAATCCATATACTGACCATGTTTGCAGAAATGCTTGTGTGGTAACAAGTGTGTCTGGGAACTTGAGGAGGCCAGAAGAGGGTATCTGATCCCTTAGTGCTGGAATTACAGGAGGTTGTGAGTTGTGTGACACGGTTGCTAGGAATGAAAATCACTTCCTCTACAGAAACAACAAGCACACTTACAACAAGCACTACTGAAATTCACGCTAAATGGCTATACAATAATAAATTCTTACATAGAAATGACCCACATTGCAATCAGCAGTGTTCTAGAGTTAAAATAAGGTGTACCTCTCAAACCATTGATTTTCTATGCAAAATAAAGTAGGTTACTCACTGTCTCAATTGACATATACAGAATTGAATTATTGCATAATTTACTTTCTATTCAGAGTCTATATAGAGATATGTGACTTCTCTCATGTTCTCACGGTTTGCAGAGGGAGGGGACCTAGAATTTGCTCACCTGATGGAAGAAAATGGTTGCACTGGGGAGTAATGCATTTTTAGTTTCTGATGTTTCCCCTTCACTTTCAGGTTTTTCTATCCTGCCACATGGTGGAGCCCAAGTGTTCTGCATGTTTAGTCTTTCCACTTCTCAATCAGACCTGACATAAAAAGAGGGCCCTTTACATCACAAGGAAGTGGGCTATTTGCATGGAGCCAGCTTATACTTAGAATAACAGAGCCAAATAAATAGGGGCACCCAGCTCTAGTCAGTCCATTGAACTCAACAAGCAGAATCTAGGTGTCCTCACCATGACTTGGTCTCCACTACTACTTATCTTCCTTCATCATGTAACAGGTCAGTGGACTTAAATAATTCTGGGAGAGTAACTGTTGCTTTGAATCTTTGGCTCATATTCTTCATTGTGAATGAGATTTGCTTGTCTTTACTGAATTTTATCATCATCCTTTTACAGGGTCATGTGCCCAGTTTGTGCTAACCCAGCCAAACTCTGTGTCTGGGTCTCTTGGCAGCACAGTCATCATCTCCTGCAAGCGCAGCAGTGGTAATATTGGAAGCTACTATGTGTACTGGTACCAGCAACATGTTGAAAGTCCACCCACCAATGTGATCTATAATAACAATAAAAGACCATCTGGGATTCCTGATCGGTTCTCTGGCTCCATTGACAGCTCCTCCAACTCAGCCTCTCTGACCATCACTAATCTGCAGATTGAAGATGAGGCTGTCTACTTCTGTCGGTCTTATGATGATAGTGATAATAAACACAGTGATGAGAATCATGGGGAAGTAAGACAAAAACTCTGTAGAGCACCAGTTGTGAGATCATTAGTGAAAAGGACTATTGTTATTTTAGGTCTCCTACTTAAGTACTTATGTTAGAATTGCCAAATAATAATTTCCTCTATGCTCAGTGCAAGATTCTACTTTCTCCTCCCTCATATGGATGACTGACCTCTTTGCATGTTTAGGCTTGATCTATGAGGTAGAAACAGTTGAAAACAGAAATTCTTTATGGCAATACTACTGACATTTTGCATCAGAGATTTCCTTACATGTTTGACGTGTTTAGCACCATCTGTGTTCATAAGTCATTGCATATTTTAAAGTTATCTTTTCATTTGACGTCACTAACTCTCTGTATTGCCAAATGTATCTGTAACATTGTAAGTGCCACACTTGGGTGAAGCCACTGTTTCAAGAAGTTGTTCTAATCTATGATGGAACCTTTAGCTTTGACACTCTCTTATTTCACTAATGCATAAGAATGAGGTTTTATCTCCCTGAGTTTCTGTCGTCAATTGCTAGTCAAAATAACAGTACTGAATCTAAGTGACTGTTTTGATGATATGGTCATATTCTAATGAAGACAAAGTTTGTTTTATTCACCTTTATTAATGAGCCATTAAGAAATAATAATATATTGTTAAGGGAAGACCTAGTGTACATGTAAATGTTAAAAACATTCATATAGTAGACATGCAAGTGTAATAGAGTTCTTCCTTTCATGAACTATCCTTCATCTGTAAGGCTCTAAAGAGCATGGTTCTGAAATAGTAAGAGGTGGCAAAGCAAGTTCAGTGAAGATCCAATGAAAACCCAAAATATTGTATTAATAATAGTTATATTACTGTGTAGTGTGGCTCAAGCCTTTAATCCCAGCACCTGGGAGGCAGAGGGAGGTGGATCTCTGTGAAATTGGGGCCAGCATGGTCTTAGAGTAAGTTCCAGGACAGCAAAGGTTATACAGAGAAACCTTGACTCAGAAAACCAAATATATATGGACGATCAAATTTCAGGTCAGAAAACTGAGTAGTGATTTAATACAACGTGCATCTCATTTGAGCATATATTGGATTGCAGTGAGAAGGGAAACATATATGTCAAAAAATGAAGTAAATTTTATTTACCTTCTGATTTATTTTACTAACAGAATGAAAACAATGACCACCTCAGAAAGATGGATTACTTATTCACCCAATTTCTTCATCACAATTTTTCAGTTTCATACAATTTTCTATTTTATGGATTAGAAAACATTATAGTATATATTTTCTGCTTTCTGGAATTTTTCCATTTATTTGATGTACATAATGGGTTCCTCGTGGAAAGAGTGGGTTAAACACTAAGAGTAAATTGAGGCAATATTGAAAAGAGTAGAATTAGAAAGGTAAATAATGTAATTAATTATGTGAAACCATGTCTTCTGCTGAAACTGTGACCGTGAAGAAAAACAAAAAAGATCCGTTGAGGATCATCATGGAGGGGGACAACTTGGAGAAAAACTATTTGTGTTAATAGAGAAAAGAGACACAGCTAAAATGACTCCAGGATCAGGGATTTAAATAAACTCTCACAGGGCATCATACCTGGAGAGTAGGACCCTGTTTTGGTTGATAATTGAGACTTACTTTGAATATGTATATTACTTTGGACATGCAGATTGCTGACAAGGTGTTTGTGGTATATAGGACTGGAAGGCAGATGATATTGGAGGCTCTGGGAGAATAAGTTTGGGATGGACAGTTTGAAATGGACTCTTCTGAAATGGGCAACTATGGAAAGTATCACAATTTCTTTACTAGAAATATTAGAATTGTTGAGAAGAAAGGAAAAGACAGGAGCAGGAAAAGCAAGGGAGTAGTAAATCTAAAAATTGAGTGGGTGGAGAACTTATCTATGACTGTGAAATGAGTCTAGCTGTGAAGAGCAAAAAAAGAAAAAGAAAAAAAAAGAAAGGCTAAAGATAGGGAACTTAAGAAACTATACACTGTGCCTCCAGGCAATGATAGAAATCTTTAGAGAGATAGCAGTAGAGAGAGAAAGGCCCTTCCCTGCATCACCCACTCTGATAAATCCAAATGTGTGGTGATGTATGCTAAGAGATTGTCTGTAGAATTCTTTTGTCTTGAGGGTAAAAATTGTTTTGAGTCAGCATTGCGAAGGGCTTTATGCAGTGGGAAACTTGTCAGTCCTTGGGCTACTTCCTCAGCTAGGATCACTATAGAGGAGGAGGGAGTTTGTTGTAGGTTTATAGAGGAATGAAAGAACACAGCAGGAGTATGCAGAAAGAAGCCCAGAAAAGAGAAGTCCCTGCTGGCTGCCTAGGGATGGTGTGCTCACTCTGTCTAGTTCTAGAATATAGGAAGATGGGAACGTCCACAAACTACACAACCAGGTTGTTAGGAAATCATCCATGTATCTATAGAAGATATTAGATCACACTTTGGTATTTTTTTTCTCCAGAGTATTTGGTTATATCCTAATGTCTGGGCTATCCAGACTCTTGGTGCTTTTACTCCAAGCAGTTACTGTCAGCGATGGGATTACTCTCATTGCATGGGTAACAGGCTACTCCCATAAACTATGTGTCACCCTTAACCCGGTGCATGCCATAGGCAAGACAAATTGTAAATCAAACGGTATGTGGTTACATTGGTCTCCCAATCCCTCCACTTGAAGTCTTGCCTGTTGAGATGGCCACTTCATTCTACACATCTTCTATTGTTAGGAGTCTTAGCTGGGGTCATCTTTGTTGATAGATGTCTGGAAGTTCATTTGCACAAGGTTCTGATCCTAAGAAGTACCCCCTTTCTAGTCATCTCTTTTTACAGTAAACTTGAACACTCCTCAACTTGAACACTCATATGTCTATCCTCACCCTTTCCAGAATCACACACAGTCTTTTCTATTTCGCTTTCCCAAGGAGATCTGAGTGTCACTACTTAAGTCCTTCTTACCTATGTTCTCGGGGATCTGTGGATTGAAGTACATTTATCCCTTACTTTATAGTTAATATCCATTTGCAAGTAAAGAGTATCATGTTTATCTTTCTGGGTCAGTGTAGCCTCACTCATAATAATGCTTATAATTTCTATAAACTTGCTTGAAAATTCAATGTCATTGTTTTAAACAGCCAAGTAATACTTTATTGTGTAAATGTACCATGTTTTCTTTACTCATTCTTCAGTTGAGGAATATCTAGGTTGTTTCTGAGTTGGGCTTATTTCAAATAAAACTGTTGTTAGCATAGTCAAGCAAGTGTCCCTGTAGAATAATTGAGCAATGTTTGGGTAAACAATTAAGACTGGTATATCTGGATCTTGAGGTAGAGGTATATTGATGCCCACATTTCTGAGAAACAGTCATATTGATTTTCAAATAGGCTGTACAATTTTGCACTCCCAGGAGCAATAGAAGAGAATTCCCTTTGTTCTACCTCCTATCCAGCAAGAGCTGTCACTTGCATCTTTGATCTTAGATGATCAAACTGGAATAAGATGGAATCTCAGAGTCATTTGATTTGCATTTCCCTGATGATTAAGGACCATTTAATTGTTTCTTGGCCATTTGAAATTCTACTGTTGAGAATTCTCTGTTTAGATCTGAGCTCCATTTTAATTGGATTATTTCGAGTTTTAAAGTTTATTTTCTTGAATTTTTCTATATTTTACTAATCAGTCCTCTATAAGATGTGGTTATTAGTTGTCAGTGTTAGCTTTTGTGATACTGGTTTTGTATTCTCTTATGCAAATGTGTTCAAGACTATTCCCTACTTTCTCTTCTATCGCTTTCATGTGTCTGGTTTTTTGTTGAGGTCTTCAATATACATGGAGTTGAACTTTGTGTGGGGTGGTAGATATGGATCTATTTGTATTCTGCTACATGATGATATGAATCTATTTGAATTCTTCTACATGATAACATTCACTTATGCCAACATCATTTGTTAAAGTTGTTTTCTTTTTTCTATAGTATAACTTTGTCTTCTTTATCAAAATCAAATGTCTATAGGTGTGTGAATTTACTTTTGGGCTTTGATTTAATTCCATTGATCTATCTGTTTTTATGGTAATATGATATGGTTTTTATCACTATAGCACTGTAGTATAACTTGAAATCAGGATTGGTGATACCTCTGGAAGTTCTTTTATTGTACAGGATTATGTTAGATTTTCTGAGGTTTTTTATGAAGCTAAGTATTGCTCTTTCAAGGTCTATAAAGAATTGTGTTGGGATTTAAGTGGCAATTGCATTGAATCTATAGATTGCTTTTGGTGAGATTTTACTATGTTATGCCTACTGATCCATGAGTATGGGAGATCTTTGCATATTCTGATAGCTTCTCTAATTGTTTTCTTCAAGGGCTTGGAATTCTTGCCATACTAGTCTTTCATTTGTTTGGTTAATTTCACCAAGAAATTTTATAGTATTTGTAGCAATTGCAAATGGTCTTGTTTCTCTGATTTCTTTCTCAGCCTGTTTATCTACTCATTTTTTGAGTTAATAAGCAAGTCTACTCATTTTTTGAGTTAATCTCTCATCTAACAACTTTAATAAAGTTGTTTATCATCTGTAGAAGTTCCCTTTTAGAACTTTTGGGGTCACTTGTGTATACTATCATACCACCAGCAGATAATGATATTTTGACTCCTTCCTTTCCAAATATCCCCCTTGATCTCCATTAGTTCTCTCAGTGCACTGGCTAGAACTTTGAGCACTATATTGAATAGATGTAGATTATGTGGAAAGCCTTGTCTTGTTCCTGATTTTACTAGAATCACGTTGAGGTTCTCTCCATTTATTTTGATGTTGGCTCTCAGCTTGCTGTATATGACTTTCATTATGTTTGGGTATGTTCCTTGTATACCTAATTTCTTCAATAATTTTATTATGAACTGGTACTGGATTTTGTCAAAGACTTTTTCATCGTCTAATGAGATGATCATGTGACTTTTTTCTTTGCTTTGTTTATATGGTTGATTGCATTGACAGATTCTCATATGTTGAAATTTCTGAATCTCTATGATGAAGCCTATTTGTTCACTATAGATGATCTTTTTGATGTGTAATTGGATTCAGTTTGTGAGCATTTTATTAAATATTCTGCAACAATATTCATTAGGGTAATTGATCTTTAACTCTGCGTCCTGATCCATTGTATGATGTGGATATCAGGGTGATTATGGCATCATAGAATGAATTTGGCAATATACTTTCTGTTTCTATTGTGTGGAATAATTTGAAAAGTACGGATATTAGCTTTTCTTTGAAAGTCTGGTAGAATTTTGTGCTAAAGCCATCTGTCCTTGGCTTTTTGTTGTTGTTGAGAGACTTTCTATTACTGTTTCAAATTCCTCAGGGCTTATGGGTCTTTTAAAATTATTCATCTGATCT